CTGCTGGCGTAAAGCTGTAAATGGGGAAAAGAAAGGAGCGGGGGCTTTAAGATGGACCTTTTTAAGCCGACAGTGTCTGCAATGTGAGCGCAGTGTGGTGCACTCTGGGAAGTCCATAGGCCATGCATTACTGTGCAAAGAGTGAGGAATAACACACTGACAGGGAAACAGGGAGATGGTTGGAAGCTGTTGAGTGTTTTGGAGGCAGGCTGCAGGAGACCCCAGAGGCAGCCACAGCACGAGGCCAGGCAGTGAGATGGAGTGCATGGGGCGGGGGAGCGGTCTGGCTTACCCTAAAAGTCCCCCTCACACTTAGCCCACACTGGCCTCACACAGCTGCAAGGTACAGTAGTAGCAGGGGGAACAAGAGAATGATAAATATAACAGTGACAGAAGGATTGGTATATAATGACAGAACACCTCATCATCAGAACACCAAGGTGGACAGGTGGCTACAGCGGTACACTGTGGGCTCTGTGGGGCTAACTGTTTGTTTTTTTTTTTTCCCACGCCTGCTACAGTACACAGTGAATAGAGTCTAAGCCTAGTGTGAAGTGTGTAAGCCTCTGACCTACCTCTGCCCACTGAGGGTCTGGGCAACACAGATATACACAGAGCACATGATGAATCTAATGGCAACTTCCATACAAGCAGGACGAGCTATGCCTCCGTGATGTTTCCACACATTACCCAGAAACATCATCACATAACACAAGCAATGAGTACATAGTGTAGGTCAGGGGTTCTGCTAACGTTAAGGTCAGAGTATCATCGTCAGGCATCTGTGTCTAAAAGGCAACTTTCATTCCTTCACAAATGTGTTTGGAATCAGTCCGTGTTTGGGGACCAGGAATCTTTAACAAACTACAGTCCTACACTCGTCCACCATCTCCATTGGACAGAGCCACTGCAAGTCTGAGTGAGGGCCGCTGCAGCCCCACCTCCCTCCCTTCCTCCCTTCCTCCCTCCCTCCTCTCTACTTCCTTCCTCCCGCTCTATTAGTACAGTGAGCATATTGGGTTTATTAAATTCTAATTGTCTGTAATGGCTGGCCAGGCTCTCTGAGGCATGATGTGGCGGGGGGGGGGGGGGGGCGGGGGGGTTGTTACCGAGGGCTGATGTTTACCTGTAGACATGCTCTCCCCAGGAGACAGTCCATCCAGGAGACCCTGCTCCATGGGCTGGGGGACCTGGGCCACAGCCGGGCCAGTGAACCCGGAAGGGGCTGTGGGTGGCTGAGGAGGGGGCAGACTTGGTCTCTGCCTGGGCTTAGGGGTGGGCCGAGACTTGGTTAGCGTTCCAGTCAGGGAGGGAGGGGAGGATAGAGATTGGGGTGCCCCGAATGGGGTCTGCCCAGGAGATGATGGGGGCACTTGCCCTGGAGGGCAGGCCAGTCCATAAGGGGAAGGAGTGCTAGGTGGTGTGGGAGACAGGCTGACCGGTGACGGCTGACCTGTAGACTGGTCGGACATCCCACTAGACTGGCTGTACGGGACCTTGGGCGGCACAGGGGCCAACTTCTTCGGACCTGGAAACAAACAAAGCAGTATTACTCTATTACGCTGTTCAAAAGGAAACTCGAGCTCACGTCATATAAGTACAGTGTGAAACTCTTCTGGCTATGTCAACACTGCAGGTAAGCTGGTCCAAATCTGATTGAATTTGCCCAGATGTGACCAACAGCTATTATTTTACAGTGTAAACAACACAGATCTGTCCCAGGCCTCCGTCATGTGGGATTCTACATCTAGCGGAGGCTCTCTGATCAAGTTGACATGCTAACAGTTGTATTTGTTAGTGCTAAATTTTTTTTCCAAACTGAAGTCTGAAAATGGTGCCACATTTGGACTATAATAAGCACCTGCAGTCTGAGCATAATCAATGACTAAACCCAAAGTTTAGCCGGAGCTAAATGTTGTTAGAAACGTGACATGTGACAGACACACAGACCTTTCTGATTATTGTATTCACTGTTGGAAATAGGTTTGAAAATCATGCTGACCTTTGCGTAGGGAGTGTGGACTGTGCTCTGTAGAATGAAGGGACTGGTTGCTGCTCTGAGGACTGCCGCTGCTGTTGGGAGGGACAGTTGGACCTGCCACCTGGATGGCTTTGTGTCCAATTACAGGAGAAAGCTCTTTACTCTTCAATGAACTGAAAAAGACAAGTGGACATTAGTGTCCGGTCTCTCCTGGGATCACGCTCACATTCACTAAACCGCCCTCGTGCACATGAACCTCAGTGCTGCCACCACCATCACCACCTCCAACCTGATCACCAGCATCACCATCATCATCATCATCATCAACTCGAAAGTACAACCATGATGAAAATGAAGCCAGCACGACTTTAAGTAAAGCAAGTACACATAAAAGACCAAACTGTAGTATTTCTGGAACCATTAATGGGTTATTGATCACGTAGCTTCTGCTAATGTGTGTGTATGTGTGTATATGTGTATATATATATACATACATACAAATATATATATACACATATATGCATATATATACATATACATATATACATGCATATATGCATATATATGTAAATATATATAATTTTACAGTTTTACAAAACAGTGCCACATAATCATACATTATACTTTTTTTAGCTGCAAATCATTTCATCATCATTTTCATCGAACAGCTGTTAGCTCCATCTGTAGGCCGATCCCACTCCTTCACCATCCTTTGCTACAGTTGCCAGATGTTATGATTATGTAACATATATATGTATATATAACTGCAGTTTCTTACAGTGTCAGACACACGGCTGCAACACAGAGGCATAATCTGAGTGAGAAACCGTAGAGTTGTCAAATAACGAAGGTTCAACAGCAAGAAACCCTGATATGCAGCGATGATTCACATTGTCCTGTGGGGGTCACATCACAGACATGTGACTCAGGGAACCTCCTCTGTCACTCCAGAGCGAGTCAGTGCTCTCACTGCTCTCGGAAGGATGTTTAAGTGACTCCATAACTGCAAAGCTGGCACTTCAGTGCAAACCTATAAAATGTTTGCAGCAGTTTCTTTTTGTTGGTTAATTATATAAGGGCAGAGCGTGGAATAAATACATTCATATGCCATTGGTGGCCATATGTATTTATGTACATGTATTTATCGTCTGCTCAATAACAGCAATAAGAGCCAGCGGTATATAAGCCAGTAACATCCTCAGTTGCTAGGCAACACCGTCAGATGCATCCCCAGACAACCTGAATGTTACAGAATCTGAGATGTCGTTTAAACCGGGAGCGGGAAGCAGAAAAGAAAACATGAAGAGGTGCGGAGCGACACAGCTGCCACTCTGTAAAGAATCCATAGAGGCTGTGGTGTGTTTTTGTGTATTTACCTAGTCAGCCTGGGGGGTCCTCTCTCCCTGGCACATGGACAGGCAGCCCACGGCGGGGGCGGGGGCATGGAGGACGGGAAGCTAGGGGGGTTGCCAAGGGACTGGTCATGGCGGGTTAGTACCAGGGGGGTTCTGATGTAGAGTGGTGAGGCATTAATGTCTGATGGGTGGGCATGTGACATGTCACCAGGGGGACTGTGCTTGGGGAAGTGCAGGCAGCTGGGTTTGGGGTTCGAATTGATGTCGAGGGATATTGGGGGTGGGGGTGAGGCAGGGGGCTGGGACTCAGGGCCTGGTGCCACAGGGCGGGTGCAGGGAGGGGGCTTGGGGTAGAAGTGGTGGGGCAGAGTGTGGCAGGAGGAACTGGGGTAAGGGGGGGGTGGCCGCTCCTCCCCTGAGGGTGGATGGGCATGAGAGGTGTCCGGCCGATGGGGCGACACATTGTCTGAGCTGTAGGCATTAAGAGAATAGACAACACAAAAAACAGCTCTAGTGATTGAACAGGGAGACGCATCGCAGCAATATGCAGCAGAGGACAAAATCATTGGCCCCATGTAAGAAAATAATGTTATTGTTTTACAAGAATTTTGAAAACTCTTTTGTACAGAACAAGATATTTGACAGCACTCTGATCATCCTAGTTGTTCCAGAGAGCTTGCATTTGTTCACATTTTTTGCTGAATATGGCAAGTCAGTGTAGTTACTACTGTTACTGTACTGTGTAACAGAGTGTCTTCTGATTGGACAATCTCACACCATGGCAGAACTATCAATAACATTGACTGGAGTGTCAGAAAGTTGCAGCACAGATGATGTTTTTTTTTTTTATTCTGATTTTTATAATGTCTCCAAAAAAAAGTTTTATCATCATATTTGTGTCGAAAAAATCTTTCATACATATTTCACTCTTCATAGCTTCGATCTTCAGTAGCTCAATCTGATTTTGTTTTTCCAAAGAACATTTGGAAGAAAATGTTCTTTCAGTTGTAGTTTTCTTTCTTCACATACAATTCCCATTATATTCCCATTCAGCTCCTGATATTTTAGTAAAAAGAATTTATTGATGAATCTGTTTAAATTGGTTATTATTTTTAGCACCAGCAGCTCAAAGTCATTATTCAGTTTTTATATTAAGGGAGACTAAATAAAGGAAACATCTCAGTTAAACAGTTTGTTTGAACTGTTAATTGAACTTTTCAGCGAAATTATGACTTTGACTTTACTCTTTTCAGTTTTGTGAAAACAATCATGCAAAACTAGAATAATATAAGATGTTAAAATGCTGGTTGTTCTGTATAAAAGCACCAGAGTGATACCTAAAAAATACATTTCTTTAAATAGGGTAATAGTTTTGTCCTCAACTGTAAGAAGGATAAGCTATTCTAATGATGTGTGGTGTTAGTGTGTTAATACATCTGTAGCCAAAAGAAAAAGGAAATAAAATAGCATTTTAGGGTGGGTGGTGGGCACTGAGCTTGTGCAAATACATCAAGAAGCAACTAAAAATTAAACTTTTTTGCCAAAGAAAAAGAATAAAGTGTGAAGCGCTCTCTCTGTGATTAGCTTGTGTCTTCACTCTGCATGGAGCAAAGCCCTGGTCTGCAGCTCATAGCATTATCAACTTTTCCTGGTGCCTGTGTTGTATATATTGCCACCTGCTGCACTAATCCTCACAGACTTGTTTGCACTGCAGATCTCACAGTCACTCCAGAACAGAGTGAAACAGACACAAAACCCTTTCACCGTCCGAAAGAGCCACAGGAGAGTGAACACCGAGCCAAACTATAGAAGCTACGTTATCTCATGTCTGCCACACGGGCAGAGCCAGCATGAGGTGAGGATCCACATGTTTCACTGTGATACATTTATGGAAAAAAAAGAGATGAAATCTGCCTGAGTGTCAACAGAAAAGCCAATTATTTACAACCGAAGCAGGGAAAGCCAAGCCACCACAAAAGGACACTGGAAATACTGGCATGCTTTGCAATGACTTGCAGAAGCAGCAGTTCTAAACAGTACCACGGCTGAAACCCCAGCACAGACAGAATCAACTGATTGGTTCAGCTAAAAATGGAAACCAAGGTTAAATACCAGGGAGTAACTGATGAAACGTGGAGGAGAAGTGAGGAGAAGAACATGTGACTGAAATTAATGAATGAATGATTAGCACAGACAACAATAAGAGATCACTGAGCTAAGAAGCTGATGATAGTGACGGTGGTGGTGGTGGTGTTTAAATCAAAACATGGTGGAGACGTGTAAAGGGGAAGAGGACAGTCTTTCTCTCTCCATGATGGACTTACCAGAATCTTTCTGCAGGTGGAGGCGTTGCACAGGGCGAGGTGGCGAGTTCTCCGGGCTGCTCTGGTATCAGTGTGTCCGCAGGAGAGCCGGGGACCTGCATGCCAGGAGGGGTGGAGGAGGTCTTGCGAACCAGCGTGGACGAGCCCTTACGAGACACCCAGGAGGTATCCATAACACGGACACCCATGCTGGAGACAAGTGAGTGGACAGAGTCGTACAAAATGTGACGTTAGGAATGGCTAAGGACGCAAGAATCACAGTTACTAAGGATTCAGATCACAGAAGAACTGATACTGATGCTTTCATGCCACTATATTGGTCAGTAAGCAGCAAAGAGTATTAGAAAAACACAAGTATTCAAATTTAGTTTACTAACAAGTATTTCAAATATAATTAGTTAACTGTTTGAATGATGAATGGGTTGTGTTAACTATTAGCCGTTTTGAATTTGGCAGAAAAAACATATCTTTGTACAATTTAGCAACAGTTTCTGCTTCCATTTTTTTGCTAGTAATGTCTCTGGACCCTGACATATCAAGCACTAAACACCACATACCAGCAGAGGGCACAAATCAGAGAGAACTAAATTGCTACTTTTATTTAAAGCTACCATTTCAACTACTTGGAAATTTTATAAAACACAGTTGAAAAAGTCATGACTAACTCGATTCTGCCCCGAGTGGTGCAAACACACATTAGTACCCTACAGGTGAGTCGAGTTAATGTAAACAAGGTGAACAGCTGAAATACATAGTGAGCTGATGAAGCGGGAAAAGAAGTTGAAAATGATACGGTACCTTTGTATCTTCCTAATGCTGCGTTAGTGGGGGAGAAGAGAGGAAGAGGGACATGAAGTCAAAGGAAATGCATGAGATGGCTCACGATAACAGACTACATCTAACAGTCTGTCATTTAAGGCCGATCAGAAAAGTGGAGCCTAATGACTGTTTATAAGAAATGGACACGACCATCTTTCATTCTCAGTAAATTTAGAGAAAATTACTGAAAATGTTCTGCTCTGATCTTGGCTTTTATACAAGTCTACGGGAAATGAAGCTACTATAACATCGGCAAACATTTCCTCACAGTCCTTCAAGGTCTCCCCCCTAACAATGTTAGTTAGACAAATGTTAGACAAAATCACAATCAGAGAGGACTTTTGATAAAATGTATAAGACACAGCCAATAAAAGTTGACAGATAATGTTATGTAAAGATGCATCGTCCAATAGGAGCCTGTTAAAGGTTATCGTTTCTGACATTGTGCTCATAGTAAACAGCAAAAAACACTTTGTTGATTTCAATGTCTATTTCAGGGGTCCAACCTCCTGGCCTGGGGGCCAAATGTGGCCCACAGACCACCACATGTTGCCTGCCATTTTTTAAATCTATTTTCTTTAGTTGGTTAATGAGAATGAGATAAAAAAAATTGAAGTTTTTGTCCTATAAAGATATTAAAGCCAGTGGCTCATATTCTGCTTGGGAGTTTCCAGCGACTGGGTAGATGAGTCAGGCCAGGTGACGTGGTGAAAAGACTGGAGGAGAAGCTAGGTGTGGGAGTATGGTGAGATAATACAGAAATAACTTCTAAGAGAGAAAAAAAGAGACGTTCCTCTAAACATGCTCTGTCAGAGATTTGTTACCACACAGTCATCAGCACCAAGACAAATGAGCCACATGGAAATGGAGCGGGACTAGTGTTACAGCACTGTGTTTGTTAATGTTCTCCAAAAGGACTCTGCACCAATCACTGAGTCCTACCGATCCATCTATACCTGTGACCCGCAGAGATTTCTGAGGGAAAAACGTAGAGGAACGGGATCTATAAATACTCCTCGGTGGTGATGGATATTTAATGTGCAGGGACGAGCTTTTTCAAACGCATGAATTCAGTATCAGATGCGTGAGAGGAGGCGTGGGTGGAAAGGGAGAGAAAGAGAGAGTGTGAGAGTGAGAGGTGGGGAGCAGAATGCTGCGCTTGGCTCCATACCCATCCTTCTTGTAAAACTCCAGCATCATGTTGTCGGTGGCGACGCTCAGTGGGCGCCGGCTCTGGTCATGCGGCTGCTTGCGCTCTGATTGGTCCACATCTGGCGAGGGCATGGAGCTGTAGTTGGAGTTGTGGTTGGTGTGGATGGGGCTGCCGTAGCTGCCGGTCAGGTTAAATTCAATCTCTGAAGGAAGGAGCAGACGTGACATCAGCAAAAAGGACGCCGCAGCCTCAGCAGTGTTTGTGAGGGCCATTAATACATTATTCATGGGATTTAAAAATGATAAAACCTAAACATCAAAAAATAAGGAATACTGTAAATGTTGCAGGCAAAAATTCACTCTGCACATAATATCAAAATGGAGGAAAATAGTATTGATTTTGTTTTCTTTTTTTTATTTTATAAGAAAAGCATGTTTGTTTATTGAAATCTACAAAATAACGGATAAATCTACAAAAAATACAAATAAATTAGTAAAACTTCTTGAAGCAGTTGAAAATATGATGGAGTTAGAAGTTAGTTAAGGTTCCAAAAAAAAAAAAAACACACGGCATTTGTCATTCAGCATGATTAAATATGCAGTATGTGTTTGCACCTCCAGGAAAGAACCAGTCAGCGTGCTGAATGATCGGCTCAATGATTCCAACAATCTGCAGGGACACGGTGGTCATCATCTCTGTCATGTTTCTGGGAAAAGAGAAACAAACCTCCCTGAAATTCAATTGGTTTCAATAAAAGTAGATAGAAAGAAGTACAAAGAAAATCTATGTATCATAATTATAACGTCATTATTTAAAGTAAGCTGTTAAAACAAACATACGGTTCAGTGTGCGTCCACAGCAGGTTAGGACCGAGGACAATGGCCATGTTTCCAGGAGTCATCTTGTTGGCGTCCTGATACTCACTCAGCTTGGCCAAGAATTTGACGAGATATCTGCAGCAGTTCAATTTAAACTTAGAGATAATTATGTTTGTCAAAGATTATTTGTTTTGTCCACATGGTTTACCAGAATCTTCTCTTATCTTCCAAAAAGCCTTGTTTAGAACTTTTACTTTAAAATTGCAGCTGCTTAGTTTGACACTTTCCCAACTGTGCCATCTACTGTGCTGGAAAGGAAACTGCAGCAGCATGAGGTTTTAGAAATACCCAGGTCTATATTTGACCATTTTTCATTTGAACCAAAACTAATATCACTCCAAAGTTTTTATAGTACATAATTGGAAATAAAAAACAAAAAAACAAAGGACAGAAACCTCACCTGAAATTGTTTAAGTTGTCTGTAGGGAGTTTTTCACATGTCCCCATTAAAGCTTGGAGTCTCTTATCCATATCTTGAATACTGGGAAAACAAAATAAATGTGTTGTTTGTTGGCAGTCCACTCCCTCATAAACATTCTCATATTTCATTTTTCCAACCTCCCAGTAGAAACATTTTGTTACATTTTTATACCTTTTTTGCAGCGGGGTGTGGTAAAACTCATACAAATTCAAACAGAAAATAAGTAAATAAAAAAACTTTATCTTACTTGGATGCCTGAATCCATTCATCATAAAGCTCAGTGGTCATCAGTGGCTCGGGGAGTTCACGGAGGTATGATTTCAAAGCCCCTGTGTGGGAGAGAAACAGGAAGAGTGAAAAAAAACCCCACACACACAGAGAGAGAGAGAGAGAACACCAGGGAGAGTTTCCGGTTTTTACTGCACTGGTGAGACTGGGCAGAGTATCAACACTCCACAGCAGCCGGGCAATTAGTGCAACTGACAGATTGATATTGCTCAACAACAACAGATGCCATTCAAAAAAACCTGAACCCAAAAAAAACAATCTCGGAAAACTGAGAAAAATAAATTAGAAGACGTGAACAAGTTTGGACAGATTTGTAGATACATTTTAAATTCACATTTAGCCATACATGGTTAATGAGGTAAAGCAACTAGCACTCAAGAAGCTAAAGATAGTTAGCTAAGAAATGTTAGCTACAATAAAAGTCAGCATGAAAACAATTATCAAAATGTTAAGTAGAGAAACCACTGAGAAATGTGTGTAAAATGGTCAAAATTTAAAACATTTAACACGCACAAAATAAAATGTTCAAAATGATTGAGTTACCCAAATATTTTATAAACCCCCTGCAGTAAATCTTTGCACCCCTTATAGTGTTGTGCACCCCCTGTTGAGTACCTCTGCTCCTGGTAAAACCTGCTAGTCTCTCAAACAGGTATAAAAAAAAAGGTCTAAAATGATGAAATAGCTAGATTTCTTCTTTTTGTTTTTTTTTTTTTTGCGCATATACTCTTAAAGCTTTTATTGAACATGAGTGACAGGGTAAGGGCTGTTGTTATGGAAAAGAAGCATGTGTGGGGGTTGTAGCTCACCTGCGATGGCGTGTGGGTCAGAGGAGTACTCCTGCACATCCAGAACTCCACAGTCCAGAGAGGCTTTCAGCTTCTTCAGCTTGGAGGCTGATGGAGCCACTCTGAAGAGGCCCTGCAGCCCACACACAGGAAACAATTAGCAAAGTCAGAAGACTAAAGATCTAACATGACCTGGGCAGCAACGCTGTCACTACTGAAGGGGGAACTTCCTTCTTGTCACTGAGAGGATTTTTTTTATCACAGATAGACCACAACACTTGTTTCTCACCATTTATCTTTTGCAAAATATCCTCTGAATAT